GTGTCGAGAATCAGCAAAACAGGAAGGCGAATAAAGGCATCGTGACCTGTCCAGCAGTCAGCATGGCTGAGAAGGGAAGAGCGGTACAGTGCGGTTCAATCGACAGGCATGACATTCACAAAAAAGGGCCACATTCCGGACCAATTTCGGATCAGACCCCCACCTCATCATGTTTTCGCCCGTGGTAAGTTTCTTCTGCCCGTACTTGACCCAGCTGAAGCCATCGCGTGGCAACAGCGGCTTATACGGATACTGCACCATGCGCACTTTCTTGCCGTCAACGTAACGTTCCCGGTGCTTTCCCCTGCCGCCGCCGCTGCCACTCCGCTGCTGCTGCCGAGCTCCGCCACTCCCAGGTCGATTCTCAGGTGTCTTGAGCCGACTCTCAGGTGTCTCAGGCCGACTCTCGGGTGTCTCTGGGCGATTTTCAGGTGTCTCCGGCCTTCTCCTGAAAATCAGACGCTCATTTTCCCGAATTTCCGAACCATCGCTTCTCTGTTGGAGCGTAGAGCTGGGCCATGGGGTGTCCATGACTCTCTGGTTCGACTGCTCCTGGTAACCACCGCTTGATTGCAAGCTTCCAGAAGCATCATGCTGATAAAGGACTTGATCTTGCGTGTCCGAGTCGCCTTTGAAGCTCGGGATTCGCAGAATCTGCGGCTGAAGGCAAGGTGATCTGCACGGATCGAGTAATGTAGCGAGACACAGGAATGTTTGTGGGAATCAGAGGGTTGATTAATTGTTCGGACACAAGATGTGTTGAAAAAAATGCACGACGCCCGTTCTACGGCCTGTTACGAGCCCACTAGGTGGAAAATTCTTGACTAACGCAATCGTTTCTGCAGATCAACGCCCCTCTCGTCCGAGGAGTCCTCCCATGATCGCTCTCCCTTCCCTCTCCCCCAAACAATGCGCACTACCTCTCGGCAAAAGTCATCCTGGCGTGTCCTGCGCCGCGCTTCGCGGCGCTTGAAGGTTCCCCGAGTCGCAGCTCATCCTGATCTCGCGATCGCTTGCGCGAGGCGCGGAGAGGGACGTTTTGGCAGTGCTCCATGCTCCCTAAGTCGTGACGGAGCCACTACGATGTGAAAGAAGGACGGATTCGAGGATAGATCACCCAGCGATAGACGCTTGAGCGTATTTCTACATGACAATCTATCGCGGGCTGAGGTGATTCGACCAGAGGAGTTTTGGTCTGGAATGTTCATGAACAGGCCGCGAAGCAAGGCCTTTGCCTGGAACAGAAGGGAGCACCCAGCCTTGTATTGGAGCGGTGGATTTGTCCCGCCCATCGTAGGGTGGAGGGTTAATCACCGTGCCGCCTTTGATCATGTACAGTAAAACGACGAAAATGAGGCTTGTTCTCCAAGGAGACATGCGATCTAATAGTATCTGATCCGATGTCATATTCTCTAGTGCCATAACGTAGTGGTTGCTCCGACGCGGCTGCGCCTCCGCGTTATGAAAAGATTCAGTTCTTGTTTGTTGGCCTCATAACTTCAGCAGCAATCCAGCTTCCAAAGCTGCTGCGGGCGAACGAGCAGAACATGGTTTTGTGTGAAGGGAAAACAAGCTGACGTGGACATGGATAACTCCGTAGACGCCGCCACCTGGCCACTCGTTTTATGCACTCGTATCCACAGATTCTGCACCGAAGGTTCGCTTGCTCCTTCTACGGACAACAGCACAGTAAATGCTGCTAAGCTCACGTGCGAGGCATCTGCGACTCCTAATCACGAGGTCCGCGTTAACTCTGAAGGGACCTGTAGGGTGGCACACCTGGTAAATACGACGGGCAGTTGATGATACCGTCCAATCCGAACGTTTCATTGCAGCGAGTTGCAAAACCTGGATCCGAGCGAGGCATCCATGGAAACTTGGTTGAGAGAAAACACACGACAGGAAACGCGTTTGTCGCCATAGATCGGTGAGGAGAGTAACCAGTGAAAGTTCGGTTGGGCTGGTTAGCTAGGAACAAGCCCGTTCGGCTTGAAGACAAGCATCTGGTCCTAAAGTCATGATTATCACTAAATACCGCGTTGTACCGTACTTTGTAGCCCTTGTCAGCCTTTCGAACCGTTGCAGGCAGTTTCAATTGTGTACCATGTATTGACAACAATTTACGCAGGGCTGTATTGTACTGGGCCGTGAATTTCCTTGCACAGTACCGACCAGACTGCTTGTTTCCACTGGGAACTGAAACAGGAGGGACTATTTTAGGGTGGTTCGTTCCTATAAATCATACGGTCAGGCTAAAGACGTTGATACCATCTGAAAACTGGTCCATATGATTCTCATTCGCCATTTTCAGAACCATGTTGTTCCACTAGGACCGTGCTGCAAGTCTCATTTGGTCCATTTGATCCCAGTTCTTCGCTGGATATCAATAGTCTTGTATCCCCAAGCGCAGGGGAATCGGTGTCCGACCCAACTATTGTTGGCAACCCCCCAAGCCAACCATGAATCTCCTCCACACGTTGCCCAAACCCAAGACTCCGCAATAGCGTGTTTGCGGGATAGTAATGTAGTGTAACTCGCTACCAGCACCCATACCGAATCAGAGTACCTCGCAGCAACTTCTAGTCTATCAAAACATATTTTAAATCTTAGTCAAGTGGGCAACAAAACCCACATGGACATGCTCTTGCTTGGTAGGCGTGCAAAGGGAGCATAATATTCATTCATGCCTTTCAATGTCAGGGTAAGCTGGACTGAAATCGGCATTCAGAGAACACTGGGATGACGTGTCTCAGGATTAGTGCAGGGCCTTATTCAAAGAGGGGGGAGGAGGGCGAAGAGGGTGAACATCGGTAAATTATCGAAAAGGTGCCCCTTATGAAGTATCTTTTGGACAAGCCCGCAATGGGATATCTTTATAATGCTCGGAGACCAATGAGCAATACACCAAGCATAAAGCCCATAATGTCTTTCCAAGACCTCATCTAGTGTATCTAGGGCAGGTTTCACTGACATTAAGCACTGAAGAAGTGGAGCCAAATCACTACACGTCGCTGGGAGAGCGAGTGCACATGGCCACTTGTATAGCCATGGAACTATCCTCGCATATCACCATATACTGAGCCTCAAATGAACCTGTAGGGAGTGTGGCCCAGGCAAAGCCAGTGTCACATGTCGCTGGGAGAGCGAGGGCGCATGACCGATTGCACAGCTCCAAAGCTATCCTCTCAAATCACCATATGCTGCATCTCATCATCTGATCCTGTAGGAAGTGTAGGCCGTGCAAAGCCAGTGTCACATGTCACTGGGAGAGCGAGGGGGGTGGATGGCCGTGCTAGCCCAGGCAAAGCCAGTGTCACATGTCGCTGGGAGAGCGAGGGCGCATGGCCACTTGTATAGCCCCGGAGCTATCCTCGCATATCACCATATGCTGCGCCTCATCTGACCCTGTAGGGAGTGTAGCCCAGGTGAAACCAGTGTCACCAGCACCAGCAGAACCCACAGCACCGGTAGTATTACCCAGTGCAGCATCAGAAGTTTCCACTGCTGCCACTGCAGCCGCCGCTGTCGCAGCAGCAGCAGCAGCATCTCGCTTCCCAGCAGACCTAGCTCCAAAGCCATACTCTGCAAAACCATCCGCTGCAGCAGCAGCAGCGTCAGACGCGGAAGCAGAGGCAGCTGAGACAGCAGCAAATAGATCCAGGCCCACCTCTAACTGCTGGTCTGGTGAGAGAACTAGGTGTTGGGAGGAACCTTGCTGCGGGGTGTGACCAGGGGAGGTTGTATTTGCGCCCGGGGCGGATTCAGGCGCGGTTCTGCTTGTCGGAAAGACGGCGGCCTGGCCAGAATTCGGTACCCCCCCTGTTGCCCCCGCAAAGATATTATTCAGTGCATCGTCAGGAACCAGCACCACAGCTGCTGACGCGGACCGGCTCTTGCTGATGTGGCGGGCCGGCGAGCCAATCACAGGGCTCGACGACACATCTCCTGCTCTTCTCGGAAACACCGCAATGTATTGTCCCGGCGACGCACCGCCGACCACAAAAACGTCGCTGTGCGATTGATTATTATTCCGCCCTTGACTAATCAGCTGTGCCTGCGTTAGCAGAATCTCCTGCGCGAGTAGCGAGCCCTCTAGGTTCTCCCTCTGGAAAGACCCCTCAGTGCGGTCCTGATGGGGAACTGTGGAGTTATGCAAATTATGCTGCGTGCCCTGCGCGTGTGAGCCACGCTGGTCGCTCTGCTGATTCGAGCCTTGCAGGTTCAAGTGTTGCGAGTTGAAATCGAGGTCTGCAACAAGCTGCATGTCGTCTAGTGGAAACGAGTCTAGAGTGCTCCAAGGCAGTTCCACCCCTGCCTCCTGCCCATTCTCCCCGCCCTCCCCCTGCTCCTGCTGCTGCCCTGCTAACTCATCAAGTTGCTCTTGAACCAGGCCCCAGTCATCGGGAATGAGTGACTGCCATGGCTGTAGCTCGTGGCGCTGCTCTTCCGCTTCCTGTGCTCCCCCTCCCCCCTCCTCCCCTTCCTCTCCTAGTGCATTCCCACCCCCCTCTTGCTCTGATCTCTGCTCCTGCTTCAGCTGCTGCTGAGCCTGGGCTATCAACTCCTGTATATTGACCTCCTCCCCTTGCTGCTGCCGCTGCTGCCCGCCCTGCTGCTGTTGCTGCTGCTGCTGCTGCTGCTGCTGACGCTGCTGCTGCTGCCACTGCTGGGTCAGATCGTCATTCAAAAATGCCTGCGCCAATGCGTCATACCCCATACCCTCCATACCCTGCCCTCCGCCCGCGCTTATCAAGAAATCCCCGCTCGCAGCAGCAGCAGACGAGGCGAAGCGGGGGGAGAAGAGCGCAGGGCTGGCAGAGGCGGAGGCGGAGGAGTGGCTGTGCGCGGATCGGGGGGAGATGGGGGGAGGGGACGACGTCACATGCGACGTGTGCGAGGAGGACGTGAGGTTCCGCGTGAACAAGGTGTTGAGTGCGGTTCCAAGCTTGTGAGCCATTGTATCATCCTTCCCCAGGCCGCCCCCTCCCTGCCCCTGTGAATTATACAGTTGCGGTGCTATCCCAGGGTAATTCGGAGTGGCGAATCCAGAGTGCGGGGGGGAGATGAGGCCCGAGGGCGGGGGGGAGACGAGCCCGCCTGAGGGGCGCGGGGAAGCAGGGCGGGTGCTGCTCGGTGAAGTGCGGTTGGGGGAAAGAGACGCCATCTGCAGCATCGCTATTGCTTCTGCTAGCGACGGGGGCGGCGGCGCGGAGTGCATGAGCGGAGGAGAGGGGCTAGACGTGGGTTCTGTGACGCTCCGGGGGAGGGTTGGGCGGGATATGGGGAAGTCATGCGCGGATGCGGGGGGGGAGGGGAAGGCGGTGGGGGAGAGGGGGAACTCTTGGGAGGAGGCAGGAGGGGAGGCGAAGGAAGGGGAGTGGGACGTCGTGGCTTGGCAGTGGAGGTTCGAGAGGGCGGCGAGGGTGGCCGCATGGGAGGAGAAAATAGATAAATTGGCGTTTGCTGCCGTGGGGGAACCAGGAAGCGGAGAGAGGTAGGGGGACTTCGGGGAAGGGATTGGGGAGAGCGCGCGCGGGGGCGTGAAGTGCGGGGATGAGTAGGGGGTGAGCACAGGGGAAAGGGAGGTGGGGGAGGAGGAGAAGAGCGGGGAGGAGCACACGGGCTGATCGGAGGGGGTCCAGCGGGGAAGCACGGAGGAGGGGGGCGTTTCGTATTGGAACGAGTGTAGCAACTCTTCCTGCATCGAGAAATCGAAGCTTCCTGACGCCTTCGCCAGGGACCCCTTCTGCGGCGCTGCTGCGCCAATCTCTCTCATTCCGCCGCCCTCTCGGCCTCCGCCTCCCCCTCCGCCCCCACTCCCCCCTTCTCCACTTTCGCCTCCTGTTCCGCCTAGCCCCACCATCGCATCCGCGCCCGCAAGAATCCCGCCAATCCCGCCTACGCCTCCGCCGGCAAGCGCACCCGGCGCTTGCGCAGGAGGCGACGATAGCTGACTTGCGAATGCCATCAGCGAGTCCGCACCAAGCGCGGAACGCGGGGCGAGAGGCGCGACGTCCGCCATTAACGAAGTGGGCGGGTTATTGGCAGCAGAGCTCAGACCTGCTGCCGCTGCCGCCGCCATTGCCGCTCCTGCCTGTGCTCCAGCCGCCCGCCGCTGCCATAGGGACGGTTGAGCTGCGCTGCTGCTTCCGCCGGCAATACCGCCCTCGCCGCCCCCTCGACTGCTGCTGCCGCTAGCAATGCTAGGTAACTGTTGCCCCATCTCCTGCCGGCCCAGGCTCTGTAGTAGCTTGCTGACCTGGAGCGCGCTGACGTGGCCGCCGCCGCTGCTGCTGCCAGCCCTCTGCTGATGAACCCGACTCGCAGTTGCCTTGCGAATCGCTTCATCTAGGGTTTGTCGTAACGCGGCGTAATCATTACCATCGCCGGCCGTTAGCATGCGCAGCGCGTCTAACCCGCCGTCGTTCGCGCCCGCGCTAATTATTCCGTCCTTCAACAACGAATCCGCATCACCACTCTCCATAAGCGCCCCACCCATCGCGGCGCCTCGAATGTGCCCGTCGCTAATGCCGAGGGTAAACTGTCTCCCGGACGACACAGGCTGTAGCAAAATCTCCGCGCTGCTGCTGGCGCCGCGCTGCTGATGCGGAGCGGGGGAGCTGCTGGCGCTGCGGAGGTGCGGGCGGTGATTGTGGTCGTTGATGTACTCGATTTTGAGCGGCGCCTTGTTGTCCGCCTTGCTCATGTTGACGATGCGCTTAGCGGGACAGCGCGCGTCCGTGTTTCGGAGCATACAGTGGAAATAGTGCCTGACGAGTGGACGCGGGGAAAAAAAGGGAGAACGGGAGTACAAAATAAGGCAGGTTCCGGCATTGCGATATGAACATCTGTTGCTTCGAATTTGGCGGTTCGGAAGATTTTGACAAGAAACCGCTCTTTGCTTATCATTTCAACTGATCCAGCTTTTGCGGCGGCTGGGACAGCCAGAGTACCTCGTTTGCAACCCACCAAGAAGCTGGCTTACCGCATGTGTAGCCCGCCAGATAGCTGCTTTTGGCCGTATTTGACCCAGTTGTAGCCGTCGCGCGGCAGCAGGTGCTTGTACGGGAACGGCTGCTTCCGTCGCGGCCGTCTGAAGCAGACAGCGGTGAAAGGATAGGGGATGGGCGAGAGAGGGGCGAGGAAGAGATGAGCAGACATGGCAAGGTTTCACAGGTAAGCCGAGAAAAGACACTGAGTGCGAGAAAAGCATTTACAATCAAGACTTCCGAAATGAGGAATAATCCGTCAGAATGAGCACCTTGGAGCATTCAGGGTGGCAATAGCAATAGCAATAGCCATTCTAAACAAAGCGCCGCATTTGGGATGAGGTGGAATTTTTAGGGCGAAACCGCCAGCTCCAGGATAGAAATTTGAGAATCTCGGACCGGAATCGGCGAAAATGAAGAACTTGAACGGAAACCCGAGAATCCACATCCGTATCGCATTAAAACGATATTACAACCTTATCCTTCCTTGAGAACCATTTCACCAAGACCATCATGAAGACCTACTTTGCGACTGTCCCGTCCTTTTCCTTCGACGATCCTCCGTTATCGTTCGTCGGGCTTGTTGTCGTGGCGGCCTGTCGAAGAGCGGGAAATTCGTCTGGATCGTCATTATCACCCGTCGCGTCCCGATTTATGCCACTCTGATCCATGTCTTCCAGCCCTGAAGCGTCAATCGCTTCGGCCGCGTTGGAATGCGTGCGATCTTCTGTGCCATCAGCGGTAGATCCAGGGGACCGCATAGCTGAGGCCTGAAATTCAAAGCTTACCGAGGGGATAACTCCTTACTAAATACGTTTCAGTCGTACGAGGATTTGCCCTAACGATTGAACAAGCCAAAGACTAACGAGCGTCATGAACCGAGAAAATGAAGTTCGAGCAGCAAGAGCAGCGACGAGATGAAGCGGACGAGAATGAACTTTCAAGGGACCTTGAGGTTGGCAGCTTGGGCTCTCGCTCTCGTCAAGTTTGAAGTATGCACGTGACGCGCCAGCCTTTCCGAACCAGCCACTTGTTTTCCCGCCATAATTTGAGGCTGTGCCTGACTGGTTCGGACGACGCTGAGAATTCCCCTTCGAAATGGTCCCTAGAATTCTTCCTCCTCGGCCTGGAATCATCCCAATTTGCTGCCCCCCAACCGCAAGAAGCACGGTTTGACCAATTCTTCCTGAACTGACCAGTTTTTTGTCACAGCCGATAATCAGTTGAATTCGACGCTTCTTGCTTGCTTTGGGGTTGCGAAACCATGCCAGTTGCTTGACATAAGCTGCAGCGCTGCCCTGACTGTGCTGCTGTGGTCCCAGCTTTGGCTGGCTTTGGCCTGACGTCACCGTGCGGGACGCGGTTTCAGATTTGGTTTCCTTGGGACCAAGCCTTGGTCGGTACAGTGCATGATTTGACACCTAGGAGTGACACATATTCAATGTTCATTACTAAAAATGTGAGGCTAGGAGCTCGTCTCCTAACCAAACACCGTTCAGAGCCTCCATTTCAGCAACAGCTCAAGCAAGAAACACCTGTTTATGTACGTTCGATAACATTTAGTACTCCCCACCAGGGCTATTGCTAGGATTTTTGCTAGCTCGGACGATCCGGGCCCCTGTGAAAAAGACCCTGTAAAATCCGAGCCAGCGGGAAAAAAACCTTGACGAATCCGGGTTCGAGCCAGAAAAGGCCTGAAAACATGCATTACCAGAATTTCGCGGGAAACTCACAGTGGGTTGCGCGAGGGCTGGGGAGATTGGAGATGGAGTGGCTCTGGAGGGGTGAGCGAGATACTTTTTGTAGACTTAGAAAAAAATACGATGAGGAAGAGTACATCGGGAGAACAGGGCAATCAGACACTCTCTCCTTATTGGCCTTCTAAGCCATGTCGACGTAGAACGGGGCAATCAGACACATGGAGGCCAACAAGGAGAGAGTGGTTAGGAAATTCACTAAAATTGGCCCAACGTGTGTTTAGAGGGAGACCGAGAGGAATGCAAGGCAGGTCGGGGAGAACATGTCTGCTAAAATTATACGGGTCCCCTTGAGAACTCCCCGGAGAGATCCGAGCTGACTCAAAAATCACCCTTCAGTTTTACGGGCTGGTCCGGTAAAAACCTTGTGAAAATCAAAGCTCCTAGAAAAAACACCCTATAATTTCAGTCAAAACAGGGTAATTGCCCTGATAACTTAGGCCCTGCTCCCCACTCTTTAGGGTGGCCTTGAAACGAACTATCCACCTTGACCTGACATAGGCTGTCGTGGCAACAAGGTTTTAATATCGATGTGATAAACACGACGTGCAAATCATAACCGATGATGTTGCCCCCAATAGACCTCTGTTCGCACGCGTACGTAGACCAGTAGAATCTTTACAGTATATTTCCGTTCTGTTCACTGTAAACAGTTGGCTAGACCCTACACCACCACAGCACCAGTGGGTGGTGCGTCGATGCCACATTGGCTCCTCGTGTCACGTACTGTACGTGCTAAAGACCATTGAACCGCCTCGAGCGGTATTAAACCCCTAGTTAAGTGTCCGAGTCTCGGTGAACTGGATGTGAATTTTACTAGTTGGGTCGGGAAGGGTTCGCATATGGGAGGAGATCGATGAGAACGGCATGGGATCGTGAAATGATGTGGATGGAAACTACTGGATGAAGCTAAGGGCAAAGGTAGAGGAGGGGGGAATGGCCCCCTTTGGGTTACCCCCCACTGTCGATCGTAAGGGCGCGCTGCAGTTGTAATTTGTAATTCGAAAATTCCGCATAAGATCGAGTTTCTTCCAAGTTTTTTGTGAAGTTCGGATTACTGTGCGTTTGGCGTTTAGTCAATAGTATTTTGTCGCGACGAAACAGTGTTACTGTTTCGGAAGTGCACCGCGCTCGTGTTTTGCATGCAAACTTGAGCGCCATGTCGAAAACAGACAAAGGCAAACAAGACTGCGGAACTCACCTCACAAAGCTCGAACTTGAGTGGGAAGTGCACCATGTAAAAAAGGTGAACTCCATTTGCGAAGAAAACGAAATGTTAGCGACAATATCGAAATGTTCAAGACCCCTAAACGAAATGAGACGATGACCGATACGACGTCTACATGGTACGTTCGACCCCAAATTCGGTCGCATGGTTAGGAGGAGTTCGGTTTCCCCAAAAAACCACTCTTGGTGCACTTGACAAAGGGTGCTGATACTCTGAATTTTTGCAAGTTCAAGCTCGACATAACCCAAACGCGATCAAGTTCGCCCGAAACCGCTCCAAAGAATTTTCGAATAAAAAATCAGAACTGCAGCGCGCCCTAACGAGAGAAGGTCAGGCAAGAACGGACAAACTCAAACCTCCCAGGGCGAAATAATCACGCGACGCGACGATTTTCAACTTTCGCTCAATCCTGTGGACTAGCCTCGCGCCGCCCTCTACGTTTTTGAATATCTATCAATCCCATGGCCTGCCACCTGTTGCTACACCCGCCAACACAGAGCTGTTGTCCTGCGTTTTTGTTATTCTCCAGTTTAGGGTCCCTAGCAGGCCGCGCTTTTGCGAGAAATCGTATCTGACGCAATCCCGCTGCAATGATCCCAAACCCAGCGTGGTTGTCTTTTTTGCGCGTCTGCATCCATGATCCATGGACAGTGGCATTCTGACCGCGGGCAAAAAAACAAACAAACCCAATGGCTTACGGCATGCCATTCGGGAGCCTCAACCCTAAAATTTTAGGGTTGAGGCTCTCTCGGATGGCATGCCATCCGAGTGGGTTTTAGTTTTTTTCTTGCCCGCGGTCAGCTTGCTGACTCGATTACACTGCCTGCTCACGCAGGCAGTGGAATATATATTATAAAAAATAAAACAGAAACAAGGAAGGTTGGGGTAAACCATGCCAGTTTGATAATGTAACTTCCAACCAAACAGTCTCAACACTCTTTCCAGAGTAAGTGTAAACATACCGCGAAAGCGCATTTAGCAGTCCATGGGATTGATAGATATTAAAAAACGTGGAGGGCGGCGCGAGGCTAGTCCACAGGATTGAGCGAAAGTTGAAAATCGTCGCGTCGCGTGATTATTTCGATCAGGGCTGTTGAAGTAAAAGCATTTGCCCTTAATGCCCTGAACATACCGGGCTACACTTGGAGCAGCTCGACCGTTTCAAGTGTTGGATTCGCATGGCGCCCGTGACAGTTAAGAGCCTCGTTTGGGCCTTCCCCTGAACACAAGTTTTGCTTTCTGTTTCGAAGGACCCCCATCCCCCACAAACCCCCCCTCTCCCCCCAATGTTTTTGCCCCGTGACCCCCCGATGTTTCAGCCTAGGACCCCCCCATGTTCATACTGCTCTGTTTTCGCCTACGATGTGGAGGTTGTAGTTGGGTTACTGCTCCTCAGTGTGGATGAGTAGTAAGTATGCACCTTGTCGCTGCGAAGTATTGGTGAACAATCGATCTTTGCTATGTTAGGGATAAGTACGCTTCCCTAAGAAGCCCGGATTTCAAGTTCTCAAACTGGCCTGCGCTCGTGAAAATCAGAGCCAAAATTGAAGCAGCTCAGGACTCAAAATTTTGGCCCCAGGGACCTCGACAGGCCTGGATGGGATGATGGGAAGCAGAAGTGGTGAGAAGATCGCGGGATTCGTCTGTTTGCTGTGTCGGTATGACGCATGAAATACAGTCTGCTTCCACGCTATAACGGTTTCAATCTTAGGACATCAGTTTTCTATGTCAGTAATGGAACACACTTTAGAAAACATTTATTGTGAGAACTTGTAATATATACATGCACCACTAGTTGTAACTGTTTCACCAAGAAGAGATAACGGCAACCTGCTCTTCTCCCATCTCACCCATGGTGCTTTGATAATACTCCCCCCCCCACCAAAACCGCCCTCCCGTTGGGCTTTCTGTATGTATCACATGCCAAACAGATGCGTACTATGCCATAATCTCCCGGATGCAAGATCCTTACAAGGGCCATGATTTTGGCCTGCCCCCGTAAGCACCCGCCTTGTTTCAAGAACTACGATACTCACGGTAATTTCATCGCCTGAGGCGCTTTGGAACATACGACCTCAGCTCAAAAGCTTGCAAGCCAACAGCTGCATCAAAAGAGCCCGCTATGACTACCTCCCTCTGTGAAACTGCACCAAGCGAACCTGCTACAGCCATCTCCCTCTGTAATGCACTACTTATATCGCCTGAGGCGCTTTGGAACATACGGCCTCAGCTCAAAAGCTTGCAAGCCAGCAGCTGGATCACTAGAGCCCGCTACAACCACCTCCCCTTGTGAAGCAACAGGCCCTGAATAAGGTCCATGATGGCTCTCAGAGGGCTGTGATGGCAAGGAGTGATCAGCACGCGGCAGTAGCCGGGCCACCGCTATTCCAGTCGTCGCAGGCTGCTCAGCCAAGTGCTTACCCTCCTTTGCTTCACCCTCCTCCTCCCCCCCTCGCCTTGCTCCCTTGTGCCGATGCTGTTCCCGTTCCCTGAGGTACGTCTCTTGCCCTTGTTTCTGCCGCTTCACCTCCCCTCCCTTGTACTGCCTCTCCTGCCCGTGTGTGCCCCTCTGCGCTCGCCTCTCTGCCTCAAACTCCCTCCTGCTGGCCTGTCGAGGGCCGCTCTGCCACACCCGCCCAAAGCTTGGAAGCCACATGGAGCCCCCCCATTGGTCAATCTCACTGTGTTGCCCGCCCACACTAACGGCAGGAGGGGCATCAACACCAGCAGCAGTAGCAGTGGGAGCAGAAGCAGCTTCAGGTGAACCAGTTGAAGATCTACCGAGAACATCAGCACTCCCTCCTCTAGTCGGAGGACCAGCAGGAACAAACTGTAGAGAAGCAGAAGCAGCAGCGGCGGCATATCGGGCCGCTTCCGCCGCTTTTATTTCTGCCCGGCGCTTCTCTGCCCAGGCTGCCCCAACGCGTTGTGCTCGAAACTTCCAGATTTTGGTGTTGGTGATTGGCGGGCAGAGGATGGGGCAGAAGGAGTCTGGGACCAGGGAGAGGCCCTCTGGGGGTGTTAAGAGGTTTAGCAGCGGTGCAGTTGGGTTCGGCTGTCTGACGACGGGTTTGGTGGCGGTATTGGTAGGGGTGGGAGGGTAGGGGGTGCCGGTGTGTGGGAGAGGAGTGAGGGGCAGGCAAGGGGGTTGATGCGATGGGGTAACTGCGGGAAGTGGAGGGACAGGGAGGGATGGGGGAGACGCCAGAGCTGCTTCAGCGTCATCCAAAGCAGCAGCACCGGTGGTGGCGGCGGCGACAGCAGCGGCTGCGACGGCAGCGGCTGCTGCGGCGGCGGCGCCGGCGGCGGCAGCGGTGGCAGGGGGCAGCACGAATGCGCGCCAGATCTCTTTAATCTCCTTGATCTCTAAGCCCCCATGGTTGCTCCCTCTTTGCTTTTTGGCTCGTCGCTTGGCGGAAGCACCCCCTGCACCATCCCTTGCAGGCACAGCCGCGTCATTGCTATTAACAGCATGAGCAGCACAAGCAGAAGCAGACGGAGCAGTGGCAGCAGCAAGGCGGGCGGTCAGGGCGGCAGCGACACGAGCAGTATCAGCCGCCACGACGCCCCTGCCACTGCAGTTTGCCGCCCAAAACGCCCTCACTGACGTCATGTGGTCCGCGCTGCTGACGTGGCGCACCCACTGCTTCCTACCACGCGTACCACGCACGGGCGGGGGAGAGAGAGAGTGAGAACCCGCATACGCGTTATAGCGAGAACACAATACTTCCTACTAGCAAGTGAGAGGCGGAAGAGCCACGTTAGAGCTGGGGAATGACTGACATCCCTTGATGGGAACAACTGATGCTCTTGGATGGGAATTTTGGACGACAATTGCTGGGGAACGCGACGGAGGAGGTCGCTGGGACGGGACTCGGGAGTGAAAGCGGGGGAAGGAAGGCGAAGCTTCCGAGAAGTTGCTCACCAGCCGCCAATTTCGCTATCCTCTGCCACGTCAGCGTCGCAAAACCGACACCATCGGCTCCGTTTCCTGCTCTCCGCACACGGAACCCACGCTCCGCCATCACTAGCGCCATTAGTCGCCGCTCTATCGATTCCATCGTCGTCGCGCGTTCCCGTCAGAGACCGCCAATCGCGGCGCTCCTCGTGGCTGTGGGCACCATTCTGCCTCTCGTCCGCGCCGCCATGCGCTGCTATCCCCGCCGCAATCGGCGCGCTTTGCTCTTGCGCGGAGGCTAGCGACCGACTGTGCGACTCCAGCCATGTCGCCAGGGTGCCCATGCGACGAAGCTCCTTGTCGAGAAGCGTCGCAAGCGCCGTCGTGTGTCGCTTGGTGTAGATGTGCGGCCGGCCCTGATCGTGCGACAGGCGACACACGCCGCACAAGGCGAATTCCTTCATTGGCGGAACATGTCCAGAGCGGATGTGTAAGCAGGAATTCCGCAACACAAAATTTGGAAGGGGCCACATGGGATGGGATTCCTAGGAGCAATTCCGCAGGGTAGATGGAAACTGAAGGCGGTCAGCAAAATTATTTAAATTTTATAGACTTCCAACCAGCTTGTGACGGTTTGGCCGAGTGGTCTAAGGCGTTGGATTTAGGCTCCAATCTCGAAAGAGGCGTGGGTTCAAATCCCACAGCCGTCACTTTCTTTGCCGCTCTCCTTCCAATGTTCCCTTTCTCTCTCATGATCTGATCGCCTTTCATTTTTGTCCTTTGCGGCCTGCTACCATGCGTGCCGATTTGTCGTGTTCACCCGCGTCCCGGCCGCCTCGCCTCCGCGCGTGCCAACCGATTTACTCTCAACCTTAATCTCGCGTCTCTACTCGGCGCATCGCTACCTTGTGCTCACTCTCCTTTCCGCGCCCTCGCACACCCTCGCGCACCGCTCCCTCGCACAGCAGCACACCCTCGCGCGCTCTCCCTTTTCCTCGCCCTACCCTCGACGATGGCGTGGCGGGCCGAGCCGTGCATTATGGGGATCGACGAGGCGGGCCGAGGCCCCGTACTCGGTAATACCTCGCCCCGTTATCCGTCGTAGTACGCTCCATTATTAACCTATGCTAGCGGGAATGCCATGGTATGGTCCACTTGCGGAAATGCGTTGCCCCGTCCGCGAGACGAATTTCCCCATTGACGGAAAATCAGCGCCTAGTCGCACATTTGTAACGCACGAGGCGCTGTGTCGGTCGCACCCAATGGCCGCCCGCACCACTCAGTGTCATACAGAGCACCCACTGCCGTCTCTAGAATCCACTGCTTTCCGCTACCGCTTCCTTCATCCCCTCCCCTTCCCACTCCCTCCCACTGTGTTGGTGCTGTGGTCACAGGTCCCATGGTGTATGCAGTTGCGTACTGTGCTGCCAGCAGCAGCTCGATTTAAAGGGCCCCCTTCTCACCCCCCCCTCCCTCTCCTCCCTCTCTTCTCCCCACTCACTTCCCCTCTGCTGTGGTCACAGGTCTCATGGTGTATGCAGTTGCATATCGTGCTGCCAGCAGGTGACATGTGAATCGACTCAAAGGGCCTCCCTCTCTTCTCCCCACTCACTTCCCCTGTGCTGTGGTCACAGGTCCCATGGTGTATGTGGTTGCGTACTGTGCGGCCAGCAGGGTGGCGCATGAGTCGACTCAAAGGGCCCACCTCTCCCCCTCTCCCCCATCACCTCGCTCCCCCGTCACTTCCCCTCTGCTGTGGTCACAGGTCCTATGGTGTATGCAGTTGCATACTGTGCTGCCATCAGCAAGGAGCGAGTGGCACGGATGGGCTTTGCTGGTGGGTGTTGGGTGCTGCTGGGTGCTGCTGGGTGCTGCTGGGTGCTGCTGGGTGCTGCTGGGTGCTGCTGGGTGCTGCTGGGTGCTGCCGTTTCCCATCCCCCATCCCCGATCTCCGTTTCCCATCCCCCATCCCCGATCTCCGTTTCCCATCCCCCACTAATCGTCCCCACTTAGCGCCCCCACTTCCTCAGTTCCCTCCTCAATCCCCTCCTCAGTCCCATCCTGAGTCCCCCCATGCTCCAGACTTTGAGACCCTCGTCCCCCCTCCCCCCATGCTCCAGACTCCAAGACCCTCACAGAGGCCAGGCAGGAGCAGCTGTTTCAATTTGAGCCATGGGGGGGGTGCAGAGCAGCGCTCACTGCAGCTGCTGCTGAGCCTCTTTCTCTCCTCTGCCTCTTCCTATTCCGCCTCTGTCCTCCTCTTCTCCCCCCCTTCCTCGCCACATGATGCAGACTCCAAGACCCTCACAGAGGCCAGGCGGGAGCAGCTGTTTCGAGTTATGGGGGGACCTGCACCTGCTGCACCGAGTGGGGGAGACAATAGTGGTGATGGGAACAGTGTGATTGCAGATGGTGGGAATGGGAATGGGAAGGGTGGGAATGGGAAGGGTGGGAATAGCAGCAAAGCAGAAGGTGTCAGTGGGGACAGCAGGGACGGTGGAGCACAGACAGAGCAGGGGGAGCAGGCAGGCAGTGCAGCAGAGGCAGGGATAGCGGGAGCAGTAGCGGCAGCAGAGGAGGCGAGTGTGATTGGCTGGGAGGTTGACGTCATCAGTGCTGCTGCCCTCTCCGCTCAGATGCTCTCCAGGTATGTTCAGGCGTTTTTCCAGGTGTTTGCACCAATGTCCTTCAGGCGAGTTTCTGTAGATTTCCGAATCAGCTGTTCACATGTGTTTGGGCTTTACTTTTGCTGCTACCAAGCATTCGATGCGATTTTTGAGAGTCCGCTAACATATGCGGGAGCGGCTGGGGCAGTGCTGTCTCCTCCCCATGGCTTGCGACAGCACTCTCATTGCACCAATGTCATTCTCCGTTTCACCACTTGCCCCACCACGCCATCCCCTATATTCTCATGGCATGGCATGGCATGGCATGGCATGGCATGGCATGGCAGGGAGCGCACGAGCCTGAACGCGATCGCCTTTGAGTCGACAGCAAAGCTCATTCAGCGAGTGCTGGATCAAGGAGTCAACATTGTGGAGGTAAGTCAAACCGAGTCAAACCGAGTCGAACCGAGTGAAACCAGGTCAAACCAAGTCAAACAAACTTGATGACAAAGCACAAGGATACTCATTAATCCTTACCGCACCCAATTTCCACCCCTCCCACTCCCCTCCCTCATCCCACGCAGGCCTTTGTGGACACGCTAGCGCTTCCCCACCGCTTCCCTTCTCACATGCCCCGCTTCCCCACCGCTTACCTTCTCACATGCCCCGCTTCCCCACCGCTTCCCTTCTCACATGCCCCGCTTCCCCACCGCTTCCCTTCTCACATGCCCCGCTTCCCCACCGCTTCCCTTCTCACATGCCCCGCTTCCCCACCGCTTCCCTTCTCACATGCCCCGCTTCCCCACCGCTTCCCTTCTCACATGCCCCGCTTCCCCACCGCTTCCCTTCTCACATGCCCCGCTTCCCCACCGCTTACCTTCTCACATGCCCCGCTTCCCCACCGCTTACCTTCTCACATGCCCCGCTTCCCCACCGCTTCCCTTCTCACATGCCCCGCTTCCCCACCGCTTCCCGTCCCTCTGCCACCGTCGCAGGCCTTTGTGGACACGCTAGGGCACCCCCAGAAGCACCAGGAGCACCTGGAGCACCGCTTCCCTTCTCACACCTAACCCCCCAGCCGCCTAAGCACCACCCCCCATCCTGATCCACAACACACAGGCCTTTGTGGACAAGCTAGGGCACCCCCACAAGCACCAGCAGCGCCTGGAGCAGCGCTTCCCTCTGGTACAGTTCACCGTGGCAAAGAAGGCTCACAGCGCCTGCTGCAGCACTCCCCCATTGATCCGCACCCTATTCACTGTCCACCCCTCCCAACTTTCATTCCCCCACAACAGGCCTTCGTTGACACGCTAGGCGACCCCCAGAAGCACCAGGAGCGCCTGCAGCAGCGCTTCCCCGTCTCCTCCCTACTCATAAAGTCTCATTATCCATCCCCACTCCGCCCTGCCTCCCCCCACCCCTCTTCCCGCACAGGCCTTCGTGGACACCCTAGGCGACCCCCAGAAGCACCAGGAGCGCCTGGAGCAGCGCTTCCCCCGCGTGCGGTTCACCGTGGCAAAGAAGGCAGATAGCCTGTTCCCCATCGTCAGTGCTGCCAGTATTGCTGCCAAGGTGTGTGTAAAGGCAGATGGGGTGCCTGCATCCCTCCTCCAACCCATCACCTCATAGGGCCGATAGCCGCTTTCCCCGGGGTGCGCTGCCCCCGCGTGCGATTCACCGTGGCTAAGAAGGCCAACAGCCTGTTCCCCATCGCCAGCGCCGCTAGCATTGCTGCTAAGGTGTGTGAGGGCAGATGGGGTGCTTGCATCCCTCCCCAATGTGGTGCCTACCTGCCCATGACTGCCTGTTCCCCATCGCCAGCGCCGCTAGCATTGCTGCTAAGGTGAGGGCATACAGGTGCTTGCATCTCGGTCAACGGAGTCAACCCAACTCAACCCCATCTCCCATACCCCGTGCCCATCCTGGTCAACGGAGTCAACCCAACTCACCCCCCTCTCCCATCCATCCTGCGCACCGCAATCGCTGCATTCAGCAGCGGGCCTTCTCTGAGGATGCACCGTGGGTCAACCCGACCCGGTTCCAAAGTCAACTGAGTCAATGCAGTCAACCGGCTCTGTGCTCGCCCCCCTTCCCCTCAACCCACCCTTTTCCACCTCTCACGTTCGCCCACCAGGTGACTCGTGATCGCTGCATTCAGCAGTGGGCCTTCTCTGAGGATGCACCGTCCCAGCACCAAAGTCAACCCAGTCAACCGAGTCAACTGAGTCAACGCAGTCGTCTGAGTCAAACAGAGAGGTTAACAGTGTCGACAGGAAGAGAAGCAACAGCACAAGTGGGAGGAGAAGCAGAAGCAGAAGTGGAAGCAGACGCGGAAGCAGAAGGAGAAGCAACAACAGCAGGAGAGTCGTTCAATCTAAATCTGGGTTCGGGATACCCTGGAGGTAAGAGGGGTGCTGTGGAAGTGAGATGGGTGCTGGTGTGGACTGCAGGATAAGGCACCTGGTGTCCCACACTTGTCTCTCCCTCTTCCTCCACTTCTCTCTTCCTCCACTTCTCTCTTCCTCCACTTCTCTCTTCCTCCACTTCTCTCTTCCTCCACTTCTCTCTTCCTCCACTTCTCTCTTCCTCCACTTCTCTCTTCCTCCACTTCTCTCTTCCTCCACTTCTCTCTTCCTCCACTTCTCTCTTCCTCCACTTCTCTCTTCCTCCACTTCTCTCTTCCTCCACTTCTCTCTTCCTCCACTTCTCTCTTCCTCCACTTCTCTCTTCCTCCACTTCTCTCTTCCTCCACTTCTCTCTTCCTCCACTTCTCTCTTCCTCCACTTCTCTCTTCCTCCACTTCTCTCTTCCTCCACTTCTCTCTTCCTCCACTTCTCTGCACGCCCACCCTTTGCCCTCTCCTTTTTCCATCCTTCCTCCCCGCTACCCCCCCGCTTCCCCTCCTTCTGCCTTCCATTTCTTCCCCTCCCCTCCCTCCGCTCCACCTCAACCCCCCCGTCTCCCCCTATTCCCCCCAGACCCCGCCACCAAGGCGTGGCTGGCGGGCAGTGTGGACGCGGTATTTGGCTTCCCCTCCCTCGTGCGCTTCAGCTGGGCCACTGCAAAGACCATCATGGACGCTTCTTGCGTTCCTGTGCACTGGTAAGCACTCAATCTAGCCTGATGTGATATACCTCAGACGAAACTACGATTTGCGCGTGTGACTAGAGGCCAGATCTTGCGCTGATGAATTCTGTGATTTTCTGGCCACAGGGAGGCAGATGAAGCTGAGGAGGAGGGGCAAGCGTTGGCGGTCAAGCAACCAAGCCCTGCAGCTTCCGTCCCTGGCTCCACTCCTTCCAAGCGCAAGCGGAAGAACGTGCGTTTCGAGTCTGTGGCACAGAAACGGCACTCGTTCTTCCGGGCTCGCAAACTGCAGCTTGTCACCACCAGCTTATAAATTTGCATGAAGATGTTACTGCTAGAATCATAGGTGATATATTGAAAGTATTTGGCAGAATTTCCTATTAATGTTTTTCATATTCCTGACAAACCGAGTCGTATCCTCGGCCACGTTTCTTGCTTCTGAGCCGCCGCCGCGAGGGGCTCGAGGCCATCAAGTGACAAGTCAGGTTGAAGTTCTGATGTACCAGCTCTCGCACGCCATTGGTTGAATGAAAAGGCAAGCCCCGAAGAAGAACCGCGCCCGGCCGCAACAATCCCAACGACTTGGCTTTCCGCCTGAGCCCCTTGTGCCCGTACAGCAGTTCCGCGCGAGGGGTTCCTTCCGGCAAACTGCGAACAGAGTTGCGCTGATCTATGCGCGACACCCTGATGCACCAGAGCGCCCCCGCCTCGCCCTGCGCCCCCCGATCCGCGCCCGAAACCCCATCAATCAGGGAACCTCGAGACCTTCGCTCGATTCGGCGCAAATAGGCTCAAGAAGTTTCCCATTCTTTTAAACACGGTTTGGCTCGGTTCTGCCCTTGAAAGGTTGGTGGTTTCTGCCCATTCAGTCGCGTTGATTGATTTGACCGTTGAGCGTCGCAGCTGGTTTACTTTCTTCAAGCTCAAGAATAGCCGCAATTCCCTGAGTAGTGCTCACTTCCCTACATTATGCTTATAGTGTGGCTGTCGCTCCTCTCGAGCCTTTCACCTCAGGAGATCGCGAGCCGTAGGTGGAAACCGTCCAGGCCTTTTTTCAGAAAGAAAGCGAGGACAGCGATAGAATTGAAAGCGCGGCCGTTCTGAAGCTGCAGATGGACACGCTAGCGGATGACATGGCAGTAGCTACAGTCTACCCGCTGCATGACGTGGACGAGGACAGTTTAGAGGACTTTGACACGTCAGTGTCGTCAAGCGACTCGGCCGAGTCATCTCCCCGGTCTTCCTGGGAGGTTGCAGCTGCCATCGATCCACGTCAGCTTGACTGGGTTCACCTCGGGAGCCGATTAAAGTCGTCGGCTCTTGGCGTGCTCCACCAGAGTAACACGTCAGCAGCGTTTTACCAGACGAACGCGCGAACCTCTCTGGAGAACGACGAGCGCGTCGCTGATGGGTGCTCAGGCGACGATAGTTCAGCGCGGTCCGGAAATTCGAGCGAAGGTCCAATTTCCCAAGGAGGATACGACGACGAGCGGAATGACATGGCTAATGAACAGGAGAGTGAGAGGAGCGAGGAACGGTGCGAGGCGGTGACGGCGAACGAGGAGCCTGTGAGGGAAGTGGTTACACGCGAGCAGACTACGAAGGACTGGCGATCGGAGCAATCGTGGGACCCGAGTAGCGTGGGGTTGTGGGACGAGCGAGGCGGCGGCGAGTCGGACGCGGCGGAGTCGGTAAGAAGCATCTTCAGCTGGCCAGGCGCTTCGAGCTCCGAAAGCGAGGCGGAGGGCACAGAGATGGTTGACATGGCGCGGACGGTGCGGGTGACGGAGATGGTGGGGAAGGCGGAGACGGCGAAAACGGCGGAGACGGCGGAGACTTCAGAGACAGCGGAGACTTCGGAGACGGCGAAGATGACGGAGACGGCAGAGGCGGCGGAGACGGCGGGGACGGTGGGGATTGTCAAGATTGACAGCGAGTTACAAGTGCGTGTAGTTAAGGGGCAAAGGCGGGACGAGGAGCGGTGCGGATTGGAGCTTCTGGGCGCCGTGGTTGCGCGGAGTAACTTAGAGCCGTTTCGGAATAAACTTTTAGGTGGCGTAGCGAGGAGGAGTAAGAGACGGAAGAGGCGCGCAGCGGCCAGCGCGGCACGCATAGCGGGAATCGGAGAGGACAGTAGCGAGTCGGAAGCGGAGGAAATTGAGGGGCGGGAGATGCAAGTGTTCCGCGTTATGGTCGTACCGGCGGAGGATGAGGGCGCGCGGGGCGGAACTGTGGGAAAAGTGAGTGCGGACGGGGCAGGCTCGAACCAGGGCAGCAGGCTTCAGGACGGAGTTAATGAAACGGTTGGGATGCTGGGTGGAGGCGAGGAGGGGGAAATGGCGATGCGCCGTGCACGAGCTACAGCACTCATCGCGGCGCCAGGAGCCGAGAAATCGGGTTCGACGGATGCGTGTCTTCCCGCCGATGGTGCCAGCAGCACCTGTCGCATCGCGGCCAAAGATCCTCCTCCTCCCACAGGGTCGCGCTGTGACGGTGGCCCCGACATCAGCACGAGCCGCGCAGTGCTGCCGTGCGCGGAAGGAGACTGCGACTCTGCGCGCAAAGAGGCTGGATCGCGCGGGCTCGCCGTTCGCGGAGCCCTGGCAGGCGCTTTCGCGGCGGTGCTGCCGGGTGTGCGCGCGGTCACCTCCGCTCTCCAATCCGCCGTGGTGAGTTCAGATTTAGGCGCTTCCGAGCGCCCTTCAATCGGCTGTGGTGAGTCCGTTACGTCCGTTAGTCCCGTTCGTCCGTTATTCCCACTCGTCACGCCCACCCATTTTTCGCGCCCGTCTCTTCGCCTTCACCGCGTTCCTTTCTGCATTCCGTTGCTAAGATTTGACATCTTATGGCCCCCGTTTGCCGTCCCCGTACCTCCCGCCGCAGTCCACGGTCGGGGAGATCTGCTACCACGAGCTTCAGAGCGCGTCCCCCGCGCAGGCGGACCACGCGCAGCTACTCGCGGCGCTGGCACGCGCGCAGACGCGCGCGCAGGCGCACGGGCTTGCGGAGGGGCAGCGGAGTCTGGCGCCGTGGGACCCGGACGCTGTGGTCGCGGTGCCCCTCGGGACTGCCGCGCAGGTGAAATCCGCGCTGCAGGCCTCGCGGGAGCTGCTGCGCGCGGAGGAAGTGGCGCTTCCGGGGGAGAAGGAAGAGGCGGGGGAAGACGCGGAGGCGGAAAGGCAGGCGGACGGGGAGGAGGCTCTTCGGGGGGAGCACAGGCAGGAGGACGTTTTCGAAGAATATAGCGGAAGTGGGGGCAGCGGAGGCGGGGAAAGCTACGAAAGCGGGGGAGGCGGGGGATTCGCGGAAAGCGGGGGAGGCAGCGGAAGCGGGGGAAGCGGCGCGCTGCCCATGGTGCTGGCGCGCACGCTGCAAGCCCTGGACGTGTTTGAGGACGTGCCCCTGCGGGACGACGACGAGGGCGCAGGGGGCGGAGGGGGGGGCGCGGGGGGCGCGCGGGTGTTCGTCCCTATGCGCCAGCTGGCGGCGGGGCTGGCGACTGTGGGGGGAAACCTAGGGGGAAGCATGGGGGGGAATCTGGGGGCGATGGGGAGAGTGGGGAGCAGAAATGGCCGGGGGAGTGGGAGGGGGAGTGATGGGGAAGGGGAGGCGGAGGAGGGGGAGGATGGGGGTTTGGGGGCGGGGCATGGGAGCGGGAATGCTGCAGATGGGTATGAGGCGATGGGGTATGGTGGGGGTGCGTTTTCGGACGACTTGCGATATGCTGGTGGGGGGGTGTATGGCGATGAAAGGGGGTTTGAGGATGGAGGGGCAGGGTGCATGGGCGGTGAGATGTGTCTTGATGTTATGGGTCGTTTTGACAGTGTGGGGTGCTTGGAAGAGTGCGGGTGTTTGGAGGAGTGTGGGTACGTGGAAGAGAGCGAGGCGAGCGGGCAGGAGGACTTGGGCATTGAGGGAAATGACTTCGCCAGGCGCCATGGGAGGAGCCAGAGCGTCAGGGCAGGCGCGGGCAGGGAGAGAAGGTTGCAGCTGCAGGGCGGCGGAATGGTGATGGAGAGGAAGGAGAGTGAGGAGGAAGAAAAAGAGGAGAGCGAGGAAGAGCAGGTGGGGAACGGGGGGGATGGGAAGGGCGAGCGCGAGGGCGAGAGCAAGAGCGAGGACGAGGGCGAGGATGAGCTGTGGAAGCTGCGTGCCTCCCTGCACCGGGCGTCAAAGCGAGCATTGCTCTCCCCACACGCCATGCTGTGCCACCGCCACCACACTCGCATGCTCTCTGCTCCCCACTTGCACTCCTCGTCCCCCCACTTGCACTCCTCGTCCCCCCACTTGCACTCCTCACCTCTCTTGCACCCGTCCCCCCGCTTGCACCCTTCCCCCCACTTGCACCTCTCTCCCCCTTGCATTGACTCCTCCCCCCATGTTGGCCTTTTCCGCTCACACACGGACTGGCCCTGCTACCGCGCCCCCTCCCCCCTCTCCGCGCCCTCCCCCACCCGCGAGGGGGGAGAGAGCGCTGCTGCCACGGCCACCGCTTCAGCAGCTGCGTGGTGGAGAGAGGAGTGGGAGGGGAGCGGGAGGCGGGAGGCAGGAGGGAGCGAGGAGTGGGAGGGGAGTGGAGGTCGGGAGGCAAGAGGGAGGGAGGAGTGGGAGGGGAGTGGAGGTCGGGAGGCAAGAGGGAGGGAGGAGTGGGAGGGGAGTGGAGGGCGGGAGGAAGGGGGAAAAGGCGAGTGGAGACGGAGTGGGGCAGGGGAGGCAGGAGAAAGCGGCGAGTGGGAGGGATGGGAGAGGAGTGCGAGTTTACCCCTGTCGAGCTGGGACCGGGAACAATGGAGGGACGATCCGTGGAAACAGCCTGTTATGGGCGCTGATTTGAGTGCTGACAGAGAAACCTGGCTGGGAAGAGCAGTGGTGTGCAGTGGTGATGGTGAAATGGGCGAGGGAGAGTGCAGAGTGGTGGGAAAGGGCCTGATTTGCAGTGGTGCTGGTGGTGAGATGAAGGATGTGCAGGGGCGAGGGGATGCAGTGCGGAAGAAGATGGGTAAGACGAGACGGAGAGTGGTGGAGAAGAGTGGAGGGGAGCGCGGGAGGGAGGAAGTGAAGGGGAGGGAAAGGAAGGAGAGGAGGGCAGTGGAGGGGCGGAAGGATGGGGAAGCGAGGGAGGTAACTGAGCTGAGTGTAGGAGATGCAGAGAAAGTACAGAGGGTGCAGAGGGTGCAGAGTAGAAAGGGGAAGAAGGCAGTGAAGGGGGTGGAGACGGGAGAGGCGAGCAAGAAAGGGGCTTCTTTGGAGAAGCAGAAGAAGATTGTGAGGAAGGCTGGTAGTGCAGGCAGTGGAGAGGTGGGGACGGAGATGGAAGGGTGTGGGCCAGTGGTTAAAACACTTGTGAAGGGCAAGACGAGGCGAATGGGGGCAGAAGGTGGGGGTGGATGTAACAGTGTCGCAGGGGTAAGTGGGGAGGTGGGTTGGGTAGGGATGGAAGGGTATGGGCCAGGGGCTAAGGCGGTTATGAAGGGCAAGGCGAGGCGAAGAGGGGCAGAAGGCGAGGGAGGAGCTGGCAGTGTGGCAGGTGCAAGTGATGCTGGGGGGAAAGGGTTGGTGCCCGGTGGAGTGAGGAGCAAAGGGAGTGGGCAGGGGAAGGTGAAGCGGTGTGGGGGCGTGGAGAGTGGTGTGGTGGAGGAGGGGTTAGAGAGGGTGTTGGATGGGAAGACGCTGACAGCAACAGGAGTGAGTTCTCCGAACAAGCCACGCCGAGCCCGCCTATCAGCTACGAGCGGCGCGGCGCGCACCACTGTGCGCACAAGCGGTGACGACCTCGGCTTGTACTCGCTCTCGTCCTCATCTGTATCGTCAGCAGCAGGCCAGCCGAATGAGTGCTGGCTGGGATCAGCAGCAGGGGGGCTTAAAAAGTGCTCGCAGGATCGAATGCCAGGGCAGCAGCCGAATCAGCATGTCATTCCACCATCTTCCATCGCACCGTCCCCCCCACGTGTTCTCCCCGCCTCCACCTTTGAGGCGTCTCAAAAGTCACGGCAGCAGGATCAGCTTGTTATTCCCCCATCTTCCCGTGCGCCGTCCCCCACACGCGTTCTCCCCACCACCACCTCCACCTCACTCCCTCACGCCTCTCCGTCCGTGGCAGTGCTCCGCTCTTTCTTTGAGTCCGCTCAAACCCCCCCGCTCGTTCGCCCCACCTCCACCTCCCTCTCACTCCACAAGGCCTCTCCCTCCCTCTCGGTACCCAACGCTGCCACTTGTGCTGCTGGGATGGCTGCTGCCTCTCGGGAACCCAAACCTGCTGCTGTCTGCGCCACCGCTGCACAAGCCACCTCCCCTCTTGTTTGGCCCACCTCCACCTCGCACTCACTCCCCAAGGCCTCTCCCTCCCTCTCGGTACTCAGCACTCCCACTTCGGCCGCTGGGATGGCTGTTGCCCCTCAGCAATCCAAGCCTGCTGCGCCCTTCGCCACCGCTGCACCGACTGCCCTCCGCGCAATCTCCCAACATGAGGAGCGAGGCGTGAGCGGGGGTGCAGTGGAGGTGGAGGGTGACAATGCTGCTGGGTCCTCGTGGCAGATGGGGCCTGACCGGGTTGATGGCACTGCTGCCAGGCACTGCTGCGGTGGCTGCAGCACTTTTGAGGCGCCTCAAAAGGAGGGTGACATTGCTGCTGGGCCTGACTGGGTTGATGGCACTCCCGCTGGGCCATGCAGTGCTTGCAGTTGCAGCGCCTGTGGATGTAGCTTTAATGGCTGTTGCAGCAGCAGCTGTGGCAGTAGCAGCATCAGCAGCACGAGCAGCAACACCAGCGGCAGCAGCAGCAGCAGCAGCAGCAGCAGCAGCAGCAGCACCAGCAGCGCTAACAGCGGTATTTTCCATGTACCAGGCTTTGGGCGCTTCTCTCTGCCATCGGTGCTTTCACATGCCTGGGCGGCCATGCATGCTGCCACTACGCATGTCTGTGCCCTGCTCGCCCTTCTGTCACGCCACGTGCCATGGGGCTAGCTGACCTGTGGATTGCACCCCATAGGACTGACGGTGACCACTGACAAATTGACATGACACTGTGAGACCAGCATCACTTGACTCACCACCATCAGCAGCTCTTGTTGCAGCTTTCGACACGTGCCACGCTTTGCACGCGTCTCTCTGCCAGCAGTGCTCTCACACGCCTTGGCGGCCATGCAGGCTGCCACTGCACATGTCTGTGCCTTGCTCGCCCAGCTCCCTCGCCACATGCCATGGGCCTTTTTGTGGATGGCATTGGCAGCCCATGGGACTGACCACTGACATGTGAGAGCAAGATCACTTGACATCACATGACATCACATGACATATAGCCGATTATGACCTGCTTGCTATTTGCGTTAAGCATTTATAACACTTTGAATGGTTTCTATGTAGTGTTTGTTCTAGGTAAACTGAGGTCTTTACTGATCAGCATCACTATACCAGCATGAAAGCCAACCGAAACTTATAACGAAGCACGGCTCTTGGGAATTCCGAAGGCGCTCTTTTCCTCTTCTCACACCTGCTTCCTCCCATCACTTTTCTGCATGGCAGCCTTTTCGCGTCGCATCTCTCTAGTTTGCCTCCACGACGTTGTTCGAGAATCTGCATTGTGCGCGAAGAGACGAGACGAGTTCTACACGCTCTCTCGGATTTGACGCTCGAAGTGCACATTCCTCCCAGCAAGAAGCCGACCGAAACTCGTACAATAGCGAAGCAACACTACTCGGGAATTCCGAAGGGCTCACCTCGCCTGTATCGCGCACCCTCGCTAACCGCACCTTGCATACCCATCCATCAACGCAACGCAACAACCCTACTCCCTGCATGGAGTTGCTGTCGCATGTCCCTAGTTTGCCTCCACGAGGTGTTTCGCGAACAGCTAGCGCCGCGGCGCGGTACTTACATGTGCGGCTGCCGCCATGCGCGCTCGCACGAGGCTGGAACCGCTGAATTCTCTGGCGGGCGATATGAACGATGCACGGAATGTTGAACCGCGACGCGCGCCACCCCAGATGCCTCCTCTTCGCGCCTCCTCTTCTCCCCTTCCTATCTTCTTCGACCGTCTATTTGCGTCGCCGCTCCTTCTCCCTTTGCCATTCCTCGTTGCTCCTCGCTCTCTCGTCTGTCGCCGTCTCTCTCTCGCGCTGTTCTGCTTCCCTCAGCCGTTGTTCGTCCGTCTCGTGCGTCTCGTGCATACCCTCCACTCTCCTTTACTCGCCTGTGACCGTATTAGTCGGCAGTCATGGCGTGGCGCGTGATCGCGTGCGTCGCCGTCGTGTGCGCGCTGCTGCAGCTCGGCGCGCACGCGGCGGTCGAGGCGGAGTTTCTGCCGCCCGCGCCGGAAGATGTGATTAAAACGGAGGGCGGCTCGCTGTCCGTGTGGAGCCGCGAGTTCGAGTTCTTCAAGGTGCGGCCCGCCGTGCTTTGCTTTTGAGGCGCCTCAAAAGTAGGCCCGCGGTGCTTTGCTTGTCAGAACTATCGACGTGTCGCTTAGTGGATTCGCTAATTCGTCAGTTCGTTGTCTCGCAATCCTGCTCAACGGGATGATCCACTGTCTCACTGTCCCGTTGTGCCCCCAACTCTCCCAACTCCAGGACGCAAGTATGAATGCAGCGCGCATGGAGGTAGCGGCCTACTCTCTAGCCCTGCCGGAATACAACGACGCCCCCCAGCTCTCCGTCATCACCCACGCCCCCTTCCCTGCACGCCCTTGCCTCACCCGCCTGCTGCTCTCCCACCTTTCTCTCTCCTTTCTCTCCCTCCCAGGATGCCAACATCATGTTGAACGCAGCGCGCATGGAAGTGGCAGCGTATTCTCTCGCCCCGCCGGAATACAACAGACGCTCCTCAGCTCTCCTTCATCACTCAAAAACCCCTGCACGCCCTTGCTTGCCTCACGAGCCTCATGCTCCTCCCCCTTTCCCCCCCACCGCCCTCAGGTCGCGAATATGAATGCAGCGCGCATGGAGATATCAGCCTACTCGCTCGCCCTGCCGGAATACAACGACGCTCCCCAGCTCTCCTTCATCACGCACGGCTGTGCCTTCATGGGTCTGCTCTCGCCCATGGGGGTCCCTGCTCCAATCAGGTGCGCAAGGATAGTGTCTGAGTAGTGTGTGCGTGTGTGCTCACCATTTGTCATCTGCTGCTGCTGCTGCTGCTGCTGCTGCTGCCGCTGCCGTGAGGTCATGAGCCAGCAACGGCGCCCCGCAGCTCTCCTTCATCACGCACGGCTGTGCCTTCATGGGTCTGCTCTCGCCCATGGGGGTCCCTGCTCCAATCAGGTGCGCAAGGATAGTGTCTGAGTAGTGTGTGCGTGTGTGCTCACCATTTGTCATCTGCTGCTGCTGCTGCTGCTGCTGCTGCTGCTGCTGCCGCTGCCGTGAGGTCATGAGCCAGCAACGGCGCCCCGCAGCTCTCCTTCATCACGCACGGCTGTGCCTTGATGGGTCTGCTCTCGCCCATGGGGGTGCCCGTGCCCGCCGCGATGAGGTGCGGTGCATCCTTGTGCTCAGGATGTGCGCTCGGTGTGCGCGCCAACCGTTGTTCATCTGCTCTTGTTGCTGCTGCTGCTTGGCAATCACGTGACAGCAACGACGCCCCGCAGCTCATCACGCACGGCTGTGCCTTCACGGCTCCTCTCGCCCATTGGGGTGCCTGCTCCGATCAGGTGCGCCCTGATAGCTGTGCGCCCACTGTGTATTGTTGGGTGCCGCTGCTTGGCGGTCTTCCTAGGATGCCCCGCAGCTCTCCTTCATGCACGGTTGTGCCTTCATGGACCTTCTCTCGCCCATGGGGGCGCTTGCTGTGGGATGCACATAAGTCCAGGAGGGAGATGTGGCAAATTTAAGATGGTTGGCGAGTTAAGCAGCAGGGAGTTGGGTTGGAGCCGTTCAGGGCGCTGCTACTCTGCTGCTAGAGGCGCATTCAAATACCCCCTTCTCCCTCCTCTGTCCGATATTGTGGCAATCCCAAGAGGGTGGGCGAGCTGGGCGTGGAACAACGGCTCGTAGCCGCTCAGGGTGCTGTTGCTGTTGCTGTTTGTCCGACACGCCTTGAGTTCCCTTTCACCCCCCTCTCTCCTTCGCCGCTGCTGCCTGCCTGTGTGCCTGCAGATACGTACAGGAGGGTGATATTGTGGCCATTCCGCGCGGCTGGGCGAGTTGGGCGTGGAACAACGGTTGGAGCCGCTCAGAGCGCTGCTGCTGTCGTTCTGACTCGAGCTGACTTTCCCTGCTACACCCCTCTGCTTCCCCACTACTGCCTGCGTGCATGCCTGCAGATTCGTGCAGGAGGGGGACGTGGTGGCCATCCCGCGCAGCTGGGCGAGCTGGGCGTGGAACAACGGGTCGGAGCCGCTCAGAGCGCTGCTGCTGTCTTTCCGACACACGCGTTGACCTCCGCTGCTACACCCCTCTGCTTTCCCGCTGCTGCCTGCCTGCCTGCGTGCCTGCATGCAGATTCGTGCAGGAGGGCGATATTGTCGCCATCCCACGCGGCTGGGCGAGCTGGGCGTGGAACAACGGGTCGGAACCACTCAGGGCGCTGCTGCTGTCCGACACACGCTCTGCCAGCGAGCCGGGGGAGGTGCAGGCGTTCACTCTCATGGGCGGCCCGCATGAGACTCTAGGGGGCGTGCTGCATGGGTTCAGGTGGGCAGTGCAGCGGAGTGCACGGGTTCAGGTGGGCTCCACACAGTGCTGTCTGGCCGACACGCGCTCTGCTGCCCAGCCTGGGAAGGTGCACGCGTTTACTCTCATGGGCACACACGAGAACCTGTGCAGCACACCTGCTGCCCACTCATGAGAAAACGCGTGCCACACGAGACTTTGGCCGGTGTGCTGCACGGGTTCAGGTGAGCCCCTGAGGGCGCTGCTGCTGTCCCACACACGCTCTGCTAGCCAGGCTGGCTAAGCCATCCCGGGGAGGCGCACGCGTTCACGCTCATCTCATGGGCGGCTCACATGAGACACTAGGGGGGGTGCTTCACACGGCTAAGGTGGGCGGCACAGTGCATGTTTAATGTGCGGGAGTGCGGGTTGCCTTGGTGTTGAGTGTCGTTGTGCATGCACCTCTTGCCGTTCGTACCCCTCTTGCTCCTCGCCTCTCATCTCCTCCATTCTCCCGCTCCCGCACCTCTCTCTCCCTCTTTCCTACCCGCTCCTTCCCTTTACTCTCCTCTCCCTGGCCTCTCCTATCTCCCATGCAGCGCTGATATGCTAGCGAGGGCATGGGACATCGAGGAGGAGGAGGCAAAGCGACTGGTGGCGGGGCAGAAGCACGTGGGGTTCATTGCGATCGGGCATGTGAGTCACTCAATCTAAGTGCGCGTATCGCTGTTGGGTATTGAGGTGGGTTATGTGATGTGAGTATCCTGCTGATGGGCCGTTGAGGCAAAGCGACTGGTGGCGGGGCAGAAGCACGTGGGGTTCATTGCGATCGGCCATGTGAGTCACACAAGTGTGCTGTGGGCCATGTGCGGTGTGTGGCTGTTGGGTTATGTGGAGTGCGGTTGTGACCAATTATTCTGGATTTGTGCCCTATGTGCCATGTGCCATGTGCCATGTGCAGCATCAAGGAGGCTCCATGGCTCGCCCTCACACTCTCACTGGCTGTCATTTCTCCTTCTCTCCACCCTGCCCACAGTGGCACAATGCCCCGCGACTGACAGCGCAGCTGCAGGCGATGGCGGAAGAGAGCGAGGAGCAGGGGTGGAGGAGGAGACACTGAACCGTCACGAACAGGCGATCCTGACAGCATCAACCGCATCGAACCGTCTCACACTGCACGCCCTAGTGTCCTCTCTTCCCCCCCCGCTCCCTTCCTCTTCATGGCAGCACAACGCCCCACGCGTGATACCACAGGTGCAGGCGATGGTGGAGGAGAGTGAGCAAATGTACAGCTCTGCGGAAGCAGAGCTACTCGAGAGCACCAACAGCATGAAGCACATGCGCATGGGGATATCTCGCCCTTCACACGCTTCAAGTGCAGCCTGGCCTGGGCAGTGCGTCATGTGCCGTTTTGTCCTCTCTCTCCCCCTCCTCCCCCCCATATGGCAGCACAACGCCCCACGCCTGACGGCTCAGCTGCAGGTGATGGTGGAGGAGAGCGAGGAGCACAATGGCCCAGCTCACGCAACACCTCGAGATGTTGTCTTGTCCTCTCTTCCATCTCCCCTCCATTACAGCACAACGCCCCTCGCCTGACAGCACAGCTGCAGGCGATGGTGGAGGAGAGCGAGGAGGCGTACGGTGCAGAATGGGAAGCGCCTGACAGCATCAGCATGGAGGGCAGCAACGGCGTGAAGCACATGCGCATGGGGGACATCTCGCCCTTCACGCGCTTCAAGTACAGCCTGGTGCACGCAACGCCCGATGTGTCGGTCCCCAAGGGGGGTGATATCTTCGTGGTGGATCGCAGCAAGCTGCCCGTGCTGCACCACGTGGGGCTCTCTGCTTTCCTCTATCACCTGCAGGTGAGACAATCTGTCCCTTCCTAGGTGCGTCCCCTTCACGCGCTTCAAGTACAGCCTGGCGCACGCAACACCTGACGTGTCGGTGCCCAGGGGAGGAGACATCTTCATGGTGGATCGCAGCAAGCTGCCTGTGCTGCACCACGTGGGACTCTCCGCTTTCCTTTACCACCTCCAGGTGAGCTCTCTTCTTCCTCTGCTCCTCTGCTTGTCTGTCCCCTCTCTGTCCCTCTACCCCTCTTCTCTCTGTACCCAGTGTGTCGGTGCCCAAGGGGGGAGACATCCTCGTGGTGGATCGCAGCAAGCTGCCCGTGCTGCACCACGTGGGACTCTCTGCTTTCCTCTATCACCTTCAGGTATGCCCTTCTCTCACTCATCATTCTGCCTCTGCCCCTCCCTCCTGCTCCTGCTCCTCTGAGGGGGGGAGACATCTTTGTGGTGGATCGCAGCAAGCTGCCCGTGCTGCACCACGTGGGACTCTCCGCCTTCCTCTACCACCTCCAGGTGAGCTCCGTTCTTCCTCCGTGCTCCTGCTCCTCTGCTCCTGTCCTTCCTCTGCTCCGCTGCTCCTGTGTATGTACCCCATGTGTCGGTGCCCAAGGGAGGAGATATATTTGTGGTGGATCGATCTAAGCTGCCCGTGCTGCACCACTTCTACCCCTGCAGCTGAGGAGGTGTCTCATGCTTGCTTCTGCTCCGCGAGTGCCCTGATGTTTTGCTCCTGTTTTCTAATTCCACCCCATCCAGCCCAGCGCATGCCTAGCCCCCCACTGGTATCACAACGCGGCCATCCTGCACGTGGTGCTGGCGGGTAGTGGCCGCATTGAGGTGGTCTGTCCTGACGATTTACGATGGAAACTCTTGCTTGCTTCTTCTCCCCTACTCCCTTGCTGCCTCGCTCTCTTTCTCCCCTGCTCTCTGCCCCACCCACTCCACAGCCAAATGCACTCCTAGCCCCCCACTGGTATCCCAACGCTGCTATCCTGCACGTGGTGCTGGCGGGCAGTGGCCGCATTGAGGTGGTCTATCCTGACGGCCACACCGCTCTGCACCGTGATGTTCACACGGGGGATGTTATTGCCGTGCCCGCACTCTTCCCTTCGTCCATGGTACGTTTTTCCTTTCCTCCTCTCAGTTGCACCGCTCTGCACCCTGGCACTCTTCCCATCCTCCACGGTATATTTCTTTTCCCTCTTCCTCTGTATGGTATGTTGCTCTTCTTCCCCTCTCCCCTCCTTCTCCCCATCCATTGTCAGTCGGCCGCGTCTCCTTCCATTGTTCTCCAATGAACTCTTGTTATCTTCGTAACCTCGATCCTACACCCTTTTTCCTCCCTTCAAACTTCACCAGGAGGCGTCTGAGGAGGGAATGATGTGGATTGCTATCGCCAACCGTCCGCTCTCTCCCCCATCCTTCCTGGCGGGGGCCACATCGGTGTTCAAGGGTATCCCGAAGCGCGTGCTCATGGCTGCATTTAACGTTGAGAAGGAGCTTGAGGATAAGTTCTACAAGGCCCGCCGCGACCCGTCGGAGATTGCGATATTTCCGCCCACTCAGAAGAGCACTGCCACTGCATAGGGTGTGGATAAGTTTTACAAGGCCCCTCGTGACCCGTCGGAATTGCAATTTTCCCGCCGATTGAAAAGAGTGCTGCATAGGGTGTATGGGATCTTAATGTCACCGTCTGGTTTGGATGAAAGGAAAGATAGGGATGCTTTGAAGTCGGGCCATGAAGGTAGTTGTGTAATTGTACATAAATGGAAAAAAATAATGCTTTCATGAATACGGTAGCAAAACTGTTTACGTCGAGTTAGTTGATATAGCGGATAAGTTTTGATCACTCCCTCTCAATGTTTTCCTCCTGTCCGCCTCCATTCCCAGCGAACCACCATCCTCCCAAATGACTTGCGTCGCCCCTATGAGGGCTTGCGCGCTCCTCTCCCGCCTCTACTCGCCACCCGCCACGCGTCTGTCCGCCTTTCGTCGCCACGTGTGTAGCGCGCCAATGGGGTTCGTCGTCGCGTCGAGCCAATCAAAAGGCAAGCTGTGGCCGTTATTTCTTTCTCTGCCAGCTGATTCTCTAACGGTCGTCTGTTTTAAGGCCGTTTGTCTGACCGGCATGCGATTACCAGGCAGCCCATGAAACCGGCTCGAACGGGTTCGGTGATATGCTCAGTCAACGAGGGGGATCACTGCACTTCCCCCCTCTCTCCGCCCTCCGCCTCTCCGCCTCTCCGCCGCGTCATTTCCTTCTCTCCGCATCACCCTCTTTCCCCATCCCCCCACCCTTCCCCACTTTTGATTCTCCCTTTTCCACCCTTCTCCGCCACTTTCCTTGCGGATTCACCGCCTTCTCCTCGTCCCCTTCTCTCCTCACACCCCTTCTTCTTCCCCTTCCCCCCACGCGTTCCCTTCCCCCACTTCTCCCCTCGCAGTGCAGTTTTTCGAACTGCAGGGGGGCTGGCGCAGGCGCTTTCCGCTCATCCTTCTTCCCCTTCCCCACACGCGTTCTCTTTCCCCCTTCCCCCACCCTCTGCCCCCCCCCCCAGTGCAGCTGGCAGGGCAGGGCAGGGCCGACACAGCAGTTTGAGACGCTCTCTGCAGAACCTCCCCCACACACTCCCCCCCAACCTCCTTCCCCCTTCCCCCTTTCTCCCCGCACCTGAACCCTTCCCCAACCCCCCGCAGGGCAGTTCGTGGAGCTGCAGGGGCAGGGCCTGGCGGAGAGACTTGAGGCACTCCCCGTTCACAACCCAAACTGTCCCCCCCACCTCCGCCCGTCCCCCTTCCCCTCCCTCCCGCAGTGCAGTTCGTGGAGCTACAGGGGCAGGGCCAGGCGCAACGAGTCTGTCTGACGCGCTCTCCGCCCCAACCCCCATTTTCCCCCCTCTCTTCTCCCCTCCCCCCCCCCCCCCTTCCCCCTCCCCCCCGCAGTGCAGTTCGTGGAGCTGCAGGGGCAGGGCCTGGCGGAGCGGAAAGCCGCCATTCATGATGTGCGTTGGGGAAAGGGGGAGGGGAGGTGGGGGGGGAGTAAAGGGGGAAGGGTGGGGGAGGAGGGGGAAGAGACAGAGGGCAAGGTGCAGGGGCAGGGGCTGGCGGATCGCAAGGCAGCCATCCATGATGTGTGTTGGGGGGGAAAGGGGGAAGTTGAAGGGTGGGGGGGTAAAGGGGGAAGGGTGGGGGAGGAGGGGGAAGAGACAGAGGGCAAGGAGCTGCAGGGGCAGGGACTGGCGGAGCGGAAAGCCGCCATCCATGATGTGCGTGGGGGGGGGGGGAGGAGGGGAGGGGGGGCAAGGAATGGGGAGAGGGCACGGGAATGTGAAGGACTAGGGTGGGGAGGTTGGGGGATGGAAATGGGCGTTGAGCGTGGAAGGAGGGGGGTGGGCGTTGAGCGTTGACGGAGGAAAAACTGCTCATCCAATCACCTCTTTCAGCCTCCCTGCTCCGTCCACTCCGCCTTTTCCCCGTCCTTCTCTCTTCTCCCTTTTCCCCGTCCTTCTCTCTTCTCCCTTTTCGCCGTTCCGACACCCCTCCTTCCCGGACTGTACCAGTCAAAAGTGGTGCCTTTGAAAGGTCCCTCACGCTACATCAGACCACCTCACTCCGCCTTCCCCTTCCCCCCCCCCCCCTCCTCCCCTCCGCCTTCCCCCACTCCGCCTTCCCCCACTCCGCCTTCCCCCACTCCGCCTCCCCACCCCCCTATCAGCTACGAGTCGTACCTCTGGAGGGACCCTCACGCTACATCAGACCACGGAGTATTCGCTACAAGCAGCACGGCAAGGTGCGCTGATGCACATATATCTCATTAGACCTAGCCTTACAAGCACTCTACATCCGACCACGGAGCGTTCGATACAAGCAGCACGGCAAGGTGCACATGTAGCTCATTGACGCTTCACGTTGCAGTCAGATACAATCTAATAGCAATGCCCAATCCACAGGACTTGCAGTCAGTCTGTCCCAGTGACAAGTGTGTTTTGAGGCGCCTTAAAATTCCGTCCCAGTGAGAAATGTGGGCTCAACTCAAGGTGCTGGGAAGAGAGAGCTCAGTCCCTTTGTTATTACGCTTTTCCCCTTGCTGCTTGCATCAGGACCGTCGATGGGACATGGTGCAATCGCATCCGTCGGTTGCGGTGCTGCTCTTCCACACAGGTACGTATGTGTGTGAGTGGGTGCATTCAGCTCGAGCTCGCCAGGGAATGCTGAGCTGCAGGCTTGCATAAGTCTAAATACTGACTTTTGCAAGCACGAGAATGCTGCTGCCTTACTGATTGCACCCTCCTCTGTTGCTGCACTCTCCATCTCCTCACCCACTTAACCCCCCGTGCGTCATCCCGCCTGCTGCTGCCCCCCCCCCCCTGTCCCCATGCCCCTGTCCCCATCCCCCTATCCCCATGCCCTCGGCTCGCAACGCTCACCTCCTGCCTTGCACGCTCGTGGAACTTACTTCTTGCCATGGACGCCCCTGCACGTGCCTGCTGCTGCCATGGGTGCCCCTGCCCCTGCATGTGAATGCGGTCACGCACAGAACTCCAGATGCTCCTCATGGTAGGTGCCCTGCTCCTGCTCGAAACCCACCCCTCCTGCCATGGAATCTACTGCACGTGTCTGTTGCCATGGATGCCTGCCCTGGTGTTAATGCCCCTGCATGTGAATGCGGTCACGCACAGAACTCAAGATGCTCCTCATGGTGTGTCCCTGCCTGCTCAGCCATATGGTTTTATTGAACATCCCCCATGCTCATCTCGTCCCTCTCTCTCTCTGTTCATCCCTCACTCCTTTCATCGCTCACTCCCCTTCATCCCTATGCTATGGCAGGTGCGGCAGTTCCGCCCCACAGTACTTGCAGCAGCAGCAGCGGCGGCGGCAGAGGGGGAGGAAGAGGGGAACGAGGAGGGCGTCAACCTGACAGGGGACCTTCATTCTGCCTTCACATACGAGCTGTGTGCGGGTGAGAGCGGTGTGCGGGTGAGAGCGGTTTAAAAGCAGTTGAAAGCGTGTGAGTTCAAAGCATCTGCCTGTTGATGGTGATCCTTCTTTGTGCTGCCTACATTGCAAGTTCTCCCACCATCGTCACCTGCTCTCTCCTCCCCCCGCCACTTCCCCTGCTGCTCCCCCCACTGCATCCTCCCACTGCTTCCCCCAGTGCTCCCTCCACTGCTCCCCCTGCTGTACTCCCCTTGTCCCCCTCCTCCCCTCTTCCCCACTGCTCCCTCTGTGCAGGGCTGGTGGCCAAGGTGGGCAAGGACCTGAGGCAGATCGCCAAGGTGGGGGGAGGAGAGGAGAGGGGGCAGCAGTGCCCTCCCCCCCAACCACTCACTACTGCCCTTGCTGCTCCCGCCACTCCACCCCGTGCAGGCCTGGTGGACAAGGCAGGCAAGGACCTTAGACAGATTGCCAAGGTGAGGGAGGGGGATGGGCGAAGGGGTGCAATGGGTAATTGTGGTAGGACGGGGCTGTGAAGGTGAGGGAAAGGGTGACGGGGTATGACATGCCACTGGATGCACTGCAGCTGCTGACTTGTTACACCACACCCTGTTGCACCCCCACTCCACCCCACTCCACCCAATTCCATGCCACTCTACCCCACTCCACCGCACCCAACCCCACCAGGAGGAGGTGTTGGAGGAGACGGGGTACGACGTGCCACTGGAGTCACTACAGCTGGTGACGGCTGCTCTCACGTCCGTGGGGATATCCGGGGCCCGACAGACAATGTTTTATGCTGAGGTGAGCAACTTAAAGCCCAGATAAAGCTACATTGAGCCACAGAGGCCCTGCTGGTGACGGCTGCCCTCACGTCCGTGGGCATATCCGGGGCCCGACAGACAATGTTCTACGCTGAGGTGAGCTTCTAAAAGCTTGACTTAAAGACCGTGTTATGATACATTGAGCTGCAGAGGCACTGCAGCTGGTGACGGCTGCCCTCACGAGTGTGAGCATCTCAGGGGCACGGCAAACCATGTTCTACGCGGAGGTGAGCTGCTTAAAGCCCTGCTTAAACTCCACTGAGTTGATTGAGCCTTGTTCAACCTGCATTGAGCTGGTGACGGCTGCTCCCACGTCCTTGGGCATATCAGGGGCCTGGCTGGCAAACAATGTTCTACATCGTGTGCCATGTGCCATGCTGTATGCTGTGCTGTGTGCGGTGCCATGTGCGGTGTTCCGTGTTGTGTGCTGTGCTGTGTGCCATGGTTGGCAGGTGAACGAAGCTCAAAGAACTCATGCTGGGGGAGGCAAGGAGGACGAGGGCGAGGTGAGGAGGATTTGGGAAAGCGAGTTAGGTACACGTATTCAGTGGGGGGAAGGCAATGGTAGGTTGGTGAGGGAGGAGCAACAGAGGGGAAACATGGGGTTGGGGGGGAGGGAAGCGGGGGATATGCGAGTGGGGTAAGTGACAGAGAGAGGAGGGATGAGCGTTATTTGGTAAGCACTCACTGTTGGTTGGGGCAAGGCGGTTACGGCAAGGACTGAGCGTGGAGAAAGGAAGAGCAGACTTTTGATAGCACCTCAGAGTAGAGTCAGCGTGGGGCCAGTAAGTGCGGAGTGAGGGTAGGAGTGGAGTGCAACCCACCTCACCCCACTCCCCACTCTTCCCCCCCCCTCCTCCCCCTTCTCCCCCTCTCCCCACCAGGCCATAGACGTGGTGGGGCTGCCTCTGGCCCACCTGGACGCCTTCATTGCTGACGTTGTCGCCCAGGTTCCTCCTTCCCCCACTCTCCACCTTTTCCGCCCTTTACCCCTCCCTCCCTCCCTCCTCCCCCTTCCCCCCCTCTCCCACCAGGCCATAGACGTGGTGGGGCTGCCTCTGGCTCAGCTGGACGCCTTCATTGCAGCGTAGACCTGCCCAAAAGCCCTGGAGGGGCCGTTGATGTCCCCCCTTTTTGACGCACCCCTCCCCCCCCTTTGATGTCCCCATTCCCCCCCATCTCCAACCAAACCCCTCAACCCCCCCAGGCCATAGACGTGGTGGTTTACCCCTGGCCCAGCTGGACGCCTTCCCTCCCTCCTCCCTCAACCCCCAAGCCGTCGGCTCAGTCCTCCCTTTTCAACCCCTTCGCCCCCTCCCCCTTCCCCCCCCCCTCCACCCCACCAGGCCATAGACGTGGTGGGTTTACCCCTCGCCCAGCTGGACGCCTTCATTGCTGACGTGGACCTGCCCAAGAGCCCTGGGGGGCTGTTCGGGGTCGCATGGTTCAAAGCTACAGTGCTGCCCACTTTGCAAGGCTCAAGCTGACCTCGCATGCTTCGATATGCATTCTTGAGATGGTAGCTATACCTGATATGGAATCACTGTATATGGAGTCACTGTAATTAGGGTGCATTCCGCTGTGGACAGCGTCCCAATCGATGTGTCCCAATCGATTCTACCGCACTGCATCTTATTACACCGAATTACACCCTAGTTTCAAAATTTTCGCTTCTCTGGTTTAGTGCGGTTCGGAGCGGTACACCCGATTGGGACATGTACGATTGGGACATGTCCATGGCGGAATGTACCCTTAGGGCGTATTCCTACGGCCTCCTATCAAGAAACCTCCTATCAAGATTGTACCTTTTGCCTGGTAAAAGTAGCGAGAGGTTTTGGGTTTAGGGGATTTTTCAGTGTGATCTTGATAATAGGTTTTCTTGATAAGAGGATAGGAATACGCCCTTAGCTAGCATGGAATCTTGCAGATGTGTTAGGGTACATTCCTGCCTTGACACTTGTGTCTCAATCCCCTGTTTTCCCGAGCCGCGCCGAAACATTTTGGGGATCTCGCGTCACAAAAAATCAATGTATCGCGAAACTAGGCGACCATGCGAAATGCACAGTTGGGCGCAATTGATTGGGTGAAAAAAATTATGTCAGAACATAATGCTTGTCTAGTCTGTAGTGGGGTACTCAATAGTGAGTATAACCCTTTTGGGCTTGCTATTTGTACTCCGCTTCTTTCTAGTTCAACCACCTTTCCTCTTCTACTGCTTGTACTTCTCTTTCGTGTACCCTAAACCTAGCTATGGCTTCTTAGTCTTAGCTACTATTCTGAGATGGAATCAGAGCGGTTACGCTCTTGGCCTGTGGGCCCCACGTGCTTCCGCTGCTTTCCTGTCTGTCGCGCGCCCCGTGGCGCGCGACGCCTTATTTTTCTTCCCGCCGCGCGTTCGGGTCGCGCGGCGGTTCGCTGCTCCGTCGAAGCGCCCCCCCCACCCCCCCCCGTCGCCTGCAGCAGACCCGCCCGTCACCCCCGCTGCCCCGTCGCGGCGCCCTGGGGAGCCGCGCGCGACCCCGCAGCCACGTCGCGGCGCCCTGGGGAGCCGCGCGCGACCCCGCAGCTGTCAAACTATATGTGCTGCATATTGTCTAGGCTGTAGTGGGGTAGCCCATATGGGGTACAACCCAATTAGGGTTTACTACTTGTACTCCTGCATCCTGTTAGTTCAGTCATTCCTGCTGCTAGATTCTAACATGGTTTCAGAGCACTAAGGTCCGTAGGACCGTTTTTTTTTCGGGCCCACCTACCGCTGCGGTTACCGCGCTACCCCACGTACCTGCCTGCCTTGCCTTGCCTTGTGACGTGCTGCACAAGCGCTGCCTCCTGCTGCCCTAGGCCAGCGCGCTGCCCCTAGAGGCCCGTAAAGCCCGCGCGCCGCCTCTACACGCCTGTCAGGCCCGCAACCACGCTGCTACCGCGCGCTGCCCGCACCGAAACCGCGCAGCCCGCACCGAGTCGCGCGCAGCCCGCTGCAGCCACGCGCAGCCCGCACCGAGCCGCGCGCAGCCCGCTGCAGCCGCGCGCAGCCTGCACCGAGCCGCGCACAGCCCGCTGCAGCCACGCGCAGCCCGCACCGAGCCGCGCGCAGCTCGCAGCTGCCGCGCGCAGCCCGCGCCGAGCCCACGCAGCCCGCGTCGAGCCGCGCGCGGCCTGCTACGGCCTCGCGAGGCCCGCGCGCGGCCCGCAGCAGCCCGCGCCGAGCCGCGCGCGGCCTGCTACTGCCTCGCACGGCCCGCGCGCGGCCCGCAACAGCCCGCGCCGAGCCGCGCGCGGCCCGCTACTACCTAGCGCGGCCGCGCGCGGCCTGCAGCAGATCCGCGCGCTGTCCGCGCAGCCCGCGCCGAGCCGCGCGCGGCCCTCTGCCTCGGCCCCGACCTGCCGCTGATGCGGCCCCGCCCCGCAGCTGCCACGGCCCCGACCTGCCGCTGATGCGGCCCCGCCCTGCAGCTACCACGGCCCCGACCTGCCGCTGACGCGGCCCCACCCTGCTCCTGCCGCTGAAGCGGCCCCGCCCTGCAGCTGCTTCGGCCCTGCTCTTCAGCCGGTGTTGCGGCCCCGACGTCGCCGCTGTCGAGCGCCGGCCATGCTCGCCCGGTGAGCGCCTGCTCTCCCAGCCTTTGGTGAGCGACTGCCTGCCTGCCTGCCGGCCTGCCTGCCTGCCTGCGCGCCTGCCTGCCTGCCTGCCGGCCTGCCTGCCTGCCTGCCGGCCTGCCTGTCTGTCTGCCTGCCTGCCTGCCTGCCTGCCTGTCTGCTTGCCTGCCTGCCTGCCTGCCTGCCTGGCTGCCTGCCTGCCTGCCGGCCTGCCTGCCTGCCTGCCTTCCTGCCTGCCTGCCTGCTTGCCTGCCTGCCTGCCACGCCTACCCTGACCGCGCTAATGATACTGGCAGGTGGTCAGATGCAGCTCCAGCGACGTTCACGCGAGCCTCTCACGCCCCAGCAGCTTAGTGAGTGGTATACTAGCTGGGGTTGTCGCGGTAGCCGTCGTAGCTGTCGCCCTGGGGCTGGTCAGTTGGGAGCGTCTAGCAGTGGCCAGCTGCAGCTGCAGGGGCGTCCACGCGAGACACTTACGCCTCGGCAGCTCCAGGAGTGGTACGCTCAGTGTAGCAGGTCTACACGTACAGTTCGCTGCCCGTACGTCATTCGCACAGGTGCTAGGACTGGTCAGCCTTGTGGGACGCTTGGTCACACACAGTCCCGCTGCTTCGCCCGTCTGAGCGACGACTGGCGCACAGTGTTTGGCGACGAGGCTGAGCTCCCCACCTGGCTAGAGCTGCATGGACAGGGGGTAGATATCTTTGCGCGTGACTATGATGCTATTCTCACTGCCATGTATGCATTGTCTACTAGTGCTGACCGTGCCTGTTGCCTGTGCGTACCGCCTGACCCTGGTGAGGCTGCTGCCCTAGGTGCTAGTGCGTCTCCTGCTCTAGGTGCTAGTGAGGCTGCTGCTCTCGGTGCTAGTACGTCTACTGCTCTAGGTACTGGTGAGGCCGTGGCTTCAGGTGCTGCTGTGTCTGCTCTCTCTGGTACTGCGCCCACTACGGTCTCGCACACCTTCACCCTTGACTCAGGAGCTTCCCGCTCCTTCTTTCGCGACTGCACCGCACTCACGCCGCTCCGTCGGCCAGTCCCGGTCTCCCTGGCGGACCCCTCTGGGGGTCCGGTCCTTGCCCACTATTCCACGGTTCTGCCGTGTCCGGCCGTCCCGTCTGGCTCGCTGTCAGGTCTCTACCTCCCCTCGTTCTCTACGAACTTGGTGAGTGGAGCTGACCTCCAGGATGGGGGGGTTCACCAGTTCACTCCTGCGAGTCAGCGAGTGACTCACTGTACGTGTGCTAGGACGGGCCGGCACTTGGCCACGTTCACCCGTGCACCTGGCTCGAGTCTGTACACACTGACCACTGAGTCCCCTCAGGTAGCTGCGTCTGCGTCTGCGTCTGGTCAGCTGGCGGCCCCCTGCGAGTGTCGCGCTTTGTCACACGACACTCTCCTGTGGCACCACCGCCTTGGTCACCCCTCCTTGCCTCGCCTGCGTAGCATGCACTCTCGCTCCCTGGTCTCTGGTCTCCCCAGGTCTCTGCCTGCCCTCCCTCCCTCGCCTGCGCCGCCCTGCATTCCTTGCGTCGAGGGGCGGCAACGCGCTGCTCCTCACTCCTCCTCGTTTCCTCCCACAGAGGCTCCACTGCAGACGCTCCACCTGGACGTGTGGGGCCCAGCCCGCGTCCAGGGACAGGGCCACGAGCGGTACTTCCTGCTGGTTGTCGACGACTACACGCGTTACACCACGGTCTTCCCCTTGCGGACCAAGGCGGATGTCCCTGCTGTTTTGATCCCCTGGATCCGCGCTGTTCGTCTCCAGCTCCGCGAGCGGTTCCGGTCGGACTTTCCTGTCCTGCGTCTGCACTCTGACAGAGGTGGTGAGTTCTCCTCCGACCTCTTGGCAGCCTACTGTGCGGAGCACGGCATCACCCAGTCGTTCACGCTTCCGGCCTCTCCGCAGCAGAATGGGGTTGCTGAGCGCCGCATTGGCTTAGTCATGGAGGTCGCTCGTACCTCCATGATCCATGCGGCTGCCCCCCATTTTCTGTGGCCGTTTGCGGTCCGGTACGCCGCGCATCAGCTCAACCTTTGGCCCCGTGTCTCCTTGCCGGAGACCTCGCCCACACTGCTGTGGACGGGGAAGGTTGGCGATGCGTCGCGTTTCCGAGTCTGGGGTGCTCGTGCCTTTGTCCGCGATACCACCGCGGACAAGCTCTCCGCCCGCGCTGTTCCCTGTGTCTTCCTTGGCTTTGTCCCTGACGCGCCTGGTTGGCAGTTTTACCACCCCGCCTCGCGCCGTGTCTTTGCGTCTCAGGACGTCACGTTCGACGAGTCGGTTCCCTTTTACCGTCTCTTCCCCTACCGCACTGCCTCGCTCCCCCCCCGCCGCTCTTCCTCGCTCCAGGTGCTCCCCAGGTAGACCCCCTCCCCGCTCCCGGTCCTACTCCTTCAGGTGTTTCTCAGGTAGACCCTCCTCCCTTGACTGCGCCGGTTGAGGTCACTGGTGACTCAGGTCCTACTGAGAGTGGTCCTGCTCGGGGTGCTACTTCTAGGGGTGCTGAGCCTGGGGGTGCGGAGCCTGGGGGTGCTGAGCCTGGGGGTACTGAGCCTGAGGGTGCGGAGCTTGAGGGTGTGGAGCCTGGTGGTGCTGAGCCTGAGTGTGAGGGGTCTGGGGGTGCTGAGCTTGGCGGTACTGACGCTGGAGGTTCTGGAGCTACTGAGGGTGGTGGCGCTGGAGGTTCGGGAGCTGCTGGAGGGCCTAGTACTGGTGGCGCTGGAGCTGGAGGTTCTGGAGCTGCTGAGGGTGCTCGCGCTGGAGGTTCTGGAGCCGCTGGAGGTACTGGTGCTGAGGGTACTGACACCGGAGGTCTTGGAGCCGTTGGGGGTGCGGGCGCTGAGGGTTCTGAGTCTGCTGTTGCGCGGTCTCCTTGGAGTGGCCGCC